AAGGCTGAGGAACAAAAGAAAGCTGAGGAACTGAAGAAGGCTGAGGAACTGAAGAAGGCTGAAGAAGAGCAGAAGGCTGCAAAAAAGAAGGAGCACAAGAAGGCAGAAGAATCGCAGCGAGAGCTAGAGGTTCAGAGACGGGCTCAGGAAGAACTTAAAAAGTTTGAGGAGCAAAGGAAAGCAGAGGCTGAAGAGATTGAGAAGCGAGTGGAGCAGGAAACGTTGAGCAGATTTGCACAACTGAAGGCAGCTCTGGAATCGAAGACGGCAGAAGAAAGAAAACAATGGATGCGGGAAGTGCGGGACAATGCAAGAAACAATGAGAAGAAAGCCAAGAGTGAAGAGACAAAAAAGCTACTAGAAGAGGAATTGCATGAAGAGGAGAAGGCGTGTCGGAAATATTTGGACGACAAGCGAAGGGCAGCCGCAGAAACCAAAGCAAACGTGGAAGAAGAGTTTGATGCTGAGGGCCAGCCAGAGGCTTCAGCAGCATTTGCTGACACCAGGCCTTTCTTGAAGGTCACTCCTCCCCTCTTGCCATTACCGCTGGAAGATGAAAATGAAAGAATGAAGGACATCTTGAAAGAACAAGCTGCTTTAAGAGATGCACTCAGAAAGGCAAAAGCGCAAGCAGCGGAAGAAAAGCAGTCCAAAAAGGGAAAGGGCAGAGGCAGAGGAAAAGGAAAAGGCAAGAAAAGAAACGCACCAGAAAAAGAAGAGGAGGGTCCTATTGGCCTTGATGATAAGTTGGAGTCTAAAGATGAGGAAATGAAGCGGGAACGTGATCTGGAGGCAGAAACTGAACGTCAACCCAAACGTGCCAAGGCTTCCAAAGCCAATGCTGGCTCAAGCAGAGATAAAAAGAACAAGGCACAGAACGAAGAAACGCCCAATGGTGAGCCCTCCAAGGAAGAGAAAGAGACTCCGTCGTCACCCGAGGACCCTGAAAAGCCCGGTGAGAATACAAAGGAGGAAGATAAAAAGATTCCAGCCAAAAGAAAGCAGAAGGACCCGGTTGTTCTACTTTTTTCTATACTATATAAATGAAAACAAACACACCTTTGCAGGATCCCGAAGAAGCCAAACAAAAGCGTCAGAAGAGTCGAGAGGCCGGTTGTTTCTCGAATCCCACCGGCCTTCATCTCTAACATCTGGCACAGGAGAAGAAGATGAAATGCCTGGAGGAGATTACTTTGCTGGCGGCACAGGGTGCCAGCAACATGTTCAAGATTGTTCCCGATGAAGAGAAGCTAAAAGCTGTTATGTTTCATCCTCAAGATTTTTGCAATACAATAATGAAACTATGAGTTTCATGTTTGAGGTCATGGACCATTGAGCCGCCATCTATGTTGACGGAAGCTGGAGGGGAAGACTGCTCGTCGATCCAAGTCTTGTGGAACACCCAGACAGTCAGTGTGTAAAACATGTTTATCGATCCACGGTCCCCGCGAGGCTTACCGGTGGTTTTTACGTCAACAGCATCGACGACTCGACGGTGCAAGCCGTGAATGAGCAGTTCTCGAAACAGTTTAAGGCCGCCTTTTCATTGCCACACTTCACCACCTCAATCGTAGACCTGTCAGGCGAACTCAGGAGGTGGTGTTACGGTATCCTGGGGACCACATGGTGGTGTGTCACAAGCGTCCAGAACTCATCGATCACATACCTTTTAACTCGTGATTCCATTCTATATTTTTGGCTTGAGGTGGGACTATGCTCGGCGGTTGGCAAAGTGGATCAAATTCTGATCTACTCTATTTTGAGTGAGTGCCGCATCCGGAAGCGGTGTGGCAATCTGTGGGCTATCTTAGACACTAAACTTAGAGCTTATGAGAAAGTCATCAAAAGAATCATTTGCTAGTTCAAAGGAAAGGAGTGGTAGCCCAGGGGTAACAGATCCAAAGGATCAGCCTAACGGGGTTTGAAACCGGCTTAGAAGCAGTGTGTCGGTCGTGACCAAAAAACATGTGAACATTTGTTAGTCGAGTCTTTGATAAGTGAGCCTTTTGCTGCACCACAATTCAACTGCTCATGAAAGGTGACTTATTGCTCAAACAAGTGAACCATAGACCTGAAGGAAAAACTTTGCCCATTCAATATGGTTCAGCGTTGGCGAACCTCTGAGCTGGCGCTCACGGTTTGCTCTGCTGCAATGCTTTTGCACCTCGGTGCACCACGTACTTTGTCAGGGCTCCCAGAGTTTTCATGTCCACTCTTTGGCCATAGCATCTTTCAAATCTATGACTCACTTACGACCTTTGCGCGCGAAAGGATCGATCTCTGCGACTTCGTGGCGGCGAGCAGCTACAAGACACATAGTCGTGTCAGACCCCTGGTTTTGGCTCATGAGAAAGCGGTTTGATAAGTTGATCACAGCGATTAAGTGGGGAACACCAAGGATTTGGATTGCTTCGACTGTTTCAGTGGAGAAGGAGCAGTAGGGGCTGCTTTCAGCCCATGCCTCAAGTGTTGATATATCGTACAAACAAAACATACATTGATCCAACATATTGATCTAAGGGGCGAATGGTGCTAAAGTGCAGGGGCCCTGAAGCTATGTGATAAACTCACATGGTCA